GGGAGGCACAGCAAGTGTCTCTCCCGATTGGTAACTGAGAAACTATCACAGCCCTCGGTCAGACAAGCCCACCAGGATGCCCTAGGTACCGAACTTTCGCTCCCTTGTCTTAATGACACTGAGCTTCAGTGGAATAGGATCGTGACCGCCATACACGACGCAGAAGAATCTGCTTGTGGCACTATCAATCGTCACCGCACCAGTCACTGGATATCCGGGAAATCAATGAAGCTGTTGGAATCCAGAAGAGAACTCACGGTTGGCTCTGAGCACATTGTGACCAAAGAAACTAATGGATGCGAACTAAAGAGGAGCCTACGTGTTGACAAAGAAGCCTGGTGAACTAGTGGAGCTCAAGAAATGGAGGAGGCAGGAGCAGTAGGCAAGTATCGCAAGCCCATCCAGCTAATCCGCACCACTGGTCCCAAGAAACCAGGCGTCAGTGAGACAATCAGATACACTTGCAAGATCAGTTCAGTTGGCCTCATGCTCCAGGACCTCTCTCTTCCGACTCAGGTGACGCAGGATGAGCTATGGGTGGTCAGTTTAGTGGCTCTATCGGAGGCTGAGGTCTGAAATGTGATCCCAGCCCTCAATCGTTTTCGTGCTACTGGCCCGGATTCCCCCCCCCCCGCCCACCTGCAATAGTTAAGATGGAGGTGACGTCCTTTGAAAAGCACTGATCTCTGAGTTTGAACATGTCTAGAAGGAAGACACAGCCCTAGATAACGAGTAAATCAATTACAGTGGTAATATACAAGAAGTGCAGTCGCACCGATTGCGCTAACTACAAGGGTAGTAGTCTAATGCCGGTGGTGACAAAATTAATAGTCTCAATTCACGTTCGTCGCCTCACGGTGGAACGGGAATATCGGAGTTGGGAAGAGCAAACAGGCTTCAGCCCTAGACGGGGCTATATTCACTCTGCAGCAATGCTAGCGAGCGACACGCATCCCCGACATTAAGAGAGCGTTCGATTTAATCGATCGATCCGTTCTATTCCAGATAGTTGCGAGGAAAGGTGTTTCCATGAAATGCGTGAACATTTTACGTGCTCTGTACTCGAAAGCGACAAATCGCTTGAAGCTCTACGATGAGTTGTCGGATAGCTCTCCGACAGAAGTGGCGTTTGTCAGGGCTGTCCAATTTTCATTAGGTTTCATCGTGGATTCTACCATGGAATCTCACGATTGAGGCGTTGATGCGGTGCCTGGTGGAAATCTAATAGGTTGAATTGTGTGGACGATATTGACCAGCTTTCCATCGATGTTTGGGCGGTCCAATTAATCCTGAATACCCCTTCTAGACTGGTCCCATCATATGGCATGCCCTTCGCACCAAGAAAGTGCAAAGTGTTGTTCCACGACCATCAGCCCTTTGACACGAGGGACTGGAGGTAGTTGATTAATTCACTTACCTTGGCAGCTGCATCAGCAAAGACGGGCGCATACGCATTGAAGTCAGTATACGTATTACAAAAGCCAGAGCTGTCGTAATCGGCTGTAACTTTGGCGTCAGAAAGAAGCTTCCCTCAGTCTAAAAGGCCGTGCTTACAAGGCACAGTCAGGACCGTCCTACTTAATGGTAGTGAAACTCGGCCCCTTCGAGCTGAGGACCTGCAGGGTCTTCGATTCCTTAATCATCGCTGTCTGCGGAGCACTGTTGGTGTCGTGTGGCACCAGCGTGCCCGCAACGATGTGCGTAAACAAGTACGAGGCAGTGATAAGCAAGCTAGTTTCTTCGAACAACAGGTAATCCTGAATAAGTTGCGTACGTACGTTGCGCACGTACTACGCATGTACGGTAGCCGCTTATCGAAGATGGCTTTGTTTTCTATGCCGGGTGTAGGGTGGCACAAGGCTCGGGGTGGACAAAAGTTGACGTAGCAACGGAAAACGAACACACTGACGACCAAACCCGGTGCCGTCGGTCAGACGCGCCTTCCAGACTGGAGTCTAAGTGACTTGCCTTGTGTTTGGCTTGAGACCTTACAGGACATGGCTCGCAGTAGACACCAGCGGCGCGTCTGCAGCCATCTCCTAGTCGGACTGCCTGTTTAAAGTCTGCATGGTGCTGTTATCAGCTGGGTGATGGCTAGTTATGACGAGAAGCAGTGAAAGCCGCAAGGAAGCTGTCTCACTGATGTCGCCTTATCTTTGTACGATAGCCAGCTATTTGTGACTATGTTGTAAACACAAGGAGTAGACATCATCAACATCATAACTGCAGGTGAAAAACACCTCAGCTATTGTACCGCAATACAAAAACATGAACAAAAAACAGAGGCACGCCGGCTGAGTCCCCAGTAACGGATGGACATCGGTCTGGAGAGCTAACAGCCGGCTATCGTACCGCAAGACAGTTATATTATGCCTAACAAATGAGATCGCGATTGGAAGGGGGCTAAGAGGGAGGGGGATAGACAAAGGAACTCACAACACAAATGTCATCGGGGCTGGCTCCAAGCTATATCAACAAGTGTGTCCAACCAAACGTGTTCATCGTCCTTAGGACCCCAGCCAGGCAGTCGGGATGCACCAACCGACACCTTAAGCCTAAATGGTTGTTTAGGGCATTAATGTTTTCCAGTAAGTCCCCTTTCTCTCCCCCTGATTATCCTCGGTTCTGTAAGTCACTACGGTTGTAGGGTAGCAAAGCATCATTTCAAATGGCTGATGTACTACAGTTGATGATGATGTCTTTCAAAAAAATGCAATGAAATGCCGGCTACTGTTGCGATATGATAAGAAACGAGAGAGACGATAACGACGGTCTCATCTCGGTAACTGATTCACTACGTGTGCAGCAGAATTTTATCTGGCAACACTGTACTTGATGCGGTACAGGTGAGGAATCGTCGATGCATCTCGTCTATATACGTCCGTGTGAATGTGTTGTAGTCTGCTTCACGTTTGTCCGGGAATGTAATGTCAAATCCGACTTCCGTGCGTTTGGATATCGTCACGGTGCCTCTACTTGTTCAACACTATCATATCGATTACCGACTCCACGGGGCTGCTCGTTGACGCTGTGGGAGACGGTGAATACAATTCTCTTAGTACCGCAGTTTCAAAGGGCGAGTATAACATGGAACGGGTTAATCATTAGCCATGAACTTGCGTACGTTCGGCGAGCGCAGTTTCCGATATCGCAAGAGCGATGCGTGTGTTGTAGCAGTGTGGACCGAATCTGAACGAATCGTATTTCTGTCCGCAAGTTTCGCGGTGATACTCTAGAGTTAACGTCGGATAGGGGTGTGTTGGTAGTGCTATTGTCGGAGCAACGAAAGCCATCTATTCCACGCACTGCTGCTTCTTCAGGTGAGAGGAATACGCTAGTAGTGTGGGACTTCGACAAAAGACCTGGTGCCGTATGATCCCTCTAACTGAAATTGAACCGACGAAGACAGAAGTGTCGCATTGATCTCATGCATGTCCAGATATGCGCACGTTGTCTGTGATGCTGTACCTGGCTAACTGTGGCTTCAGAGTGGCCAGTTGGTGTAGAGTAGAAAGGTACACAAAAACTAACAGGGTGAGTTAGTTCAGTGCGTGTCAAGCATTTCAAAGTCGGTAACAGCAGTGGCTTAAAAATTATCCGACAAGTTCTGCGACACCAAAGTGCGTTTCGACTGCTTCGTCCTCAGATGTGTATGAAGGCTCTAGTGCACTAGTGAAGGCAACAATCCTAAGACACTGAAAATAACACCGACCAGTCATCAAACAGTTATAACTGAATTACGCAATAAATGGGGATCATTCACGAGTTAATACCCAATAAAAGCATGATGTGTTAAAAACATATACTACTGCGCCGAGTGTCAGTAGTATTGAAGTAGCAAGTATGCTAGACGATAAAGAGCAAACAATGGACCATAACAACTCCAAGAATAGAAAAGTTAAGATATGCAGATGTACGTGCACTAGGAATAGACAGAAGCAGCGAGCGCCAGGAAGCTCACAGAAGAGGGCTCAAAGATGAGTGGAACGTTTAGCGGTTAAAGCTAATACATATGGTTGATGATAACCACAAAAAACAACCGTTCGCACCATCTTGTGACGTGAGTGAACCAACATTCCGACAGCAACACTGAACAACTAGCTCTTTTCTTTCGTCATGGTGTTTAAAGATGCTACCGTTCTTGTATACCGTCACTGTATTTCAGCTTTATTTGCACTTTGGCGTTTCGGTCGTGAGTTGCTTTGCCCTCCCCATCCCGCTTATCTTCCCCCTCCAACCACGATCTCTCCCCTGACGCATAATATGTTGCCAAGTAGTGTGTTAACTATTTTGCATTCTAGAATTTTTATTAGCGTGTTTTCTTCGTATGTCTTATCTTTATGTATTGTGGCACAACAGTTGAAGTGTGATTCGCACTTTCAGCTAATGTGTAATGATGACGATGAAGAGGAGGATTTATTCGCATTCGCTTCCACACTTTTTAACACTATCGTCGATTCTCCGATTGCGGTGGTACGAAACAAACCAACCTGGTTTGCTGCAGTTAGATGCCCAATTTCGATCCGCGTAGTTCCCTAGGATGAATGTCAGATGAAACTAAGGAAACAAGTGATAGCTTTTGTATTCTTCCGACACCGTACGCTATATCGGTTTCGTCCTTATTCGGATTCTTCATTTAGAGATAGATCTGGGAATGAAACCCTTGGTGTAGTGGTTGACACCTTGAGCCCAAGAGCTGATGTCCTTGTGTCGTCGAATTACCTATTGTGACAGGTTCAGGCAGAGTTATTAGGTAAACCGAACCGTGTAGCTATCTACAAGCACTATCCTGAAGCCGGTTTTTGAAATCACCAGCCGCTTAATCAAAAGTTCTGTTGTTAGTGCCATTGAGAACAATGCAGGCCATCTACGCATCCCGGAAGTGTACTTTCGGTTGGTTCTGCAACGAAATATAGCGACAACCGCATAACACAAACTTTCCAACCTATCTGATTGAAAAATAAGCATGGATGGATAGAGTGCAATAGAAAAGAACTTACCAGACCGGTCTTTATCAGATGCTTTCGCATGCGAGCGGAACGAAAATAGTTGACCAAGTGGCGATCACATAAGCTATTGTACGTTTCCAGCGGGCTTTTCGTAAAATAATCATGTCAGTTGGTTACAAATCACGAACAAACCTTGCTTCCCCCAAGTAAGACATTTTTGCTCCCTATCGTACGTATACCCTAAGACAGTGTGTCACGCATGGAGAAAGGGTAACCTGAAAGAAAAGTCGGATCAGTCAGAGAATGATAAGACAACAAGCACTGAGCAAGGTAAGTTGATGAAGACGATGGAACACGTGGAAGAGAAGACGAATTAGACTCTTCGTTTTAGTTATTGATCGTAAACACATAAAACTTGTGCGAGATTAGCACGCTTTCGAAATGAAGCGTAGGGGTGTGTGATACAGATAAAAATGCCCATTGCGCGCTACAGAGTGTCAGCAATACGTCGGAATCGTGTACTGATAGTTCGCGGCTGGACTGCAACAAATGGTTGTAGGCGGGCCTGGATACCATAAGAATGCCCAAATAAGTGTATAAACGGGGACTAGAACTCGAGACTTATACGTCGCAAGCCAGACAACTGAGCCATTAGGACCCGGATCACATTGTGTGCCACGCTTAGCAAACAAAAACTACGTGGCAAAGCATGAGAAGTAGAGCAAGCTGGGTCGCGTGCTTATTCCAACAGACTGTTCGCTTCAATTGGAAACAGGGAAAATTCACACAAACTTTCTGAAAGTGCTAAAACTTCGTGATAGTGCACGTAGGGCGAGTACTAGAACTAATTCCGTTTAACTGAAGCATATTTGGTGCCAGAAGATTTCTCTTATTTTGAAACCAAAGTGAAGATCGTTTCCTTAAACGGTATGGAAAAGTATAACTTTCGACCTGAACATTGACCATCACCGGTTACAGCAGTGCTTGTGTCGCGATGCGCCAGCACGCTCACAACAGGAAAGCATTTGGAGATGACGAGGTCCATCCGTCAAAGCAACAAGATGGAGTAGATTGTATATCATTAGCCACCCGCTAAGTACGCTGGCCTATCGATCACCAGGATCGCTCACTCGGAACCGCCTGCTCCCCTTTCTGTTACAACGGACGTTCAGACGTTGCGTTAGGAGCTGATCTCCAACAACACGTTGGTGGGCAATGGTAATCACTCGGTTTCTTCTCCAAACGCCAGCAAACAGCAAAATCCTGCTAGACCACGTTCGGTAAGAAACTGCACACCATCTACTTAGCTAACCGTCACTTCCGATACACCTTAGAAGATAGGGCTTTCATGGTCTACACTGAACACAAGCCTCTGATTTTCGTCTCTTACTCAGACTGACCAATATTCACCAAGGGAAATCAGACACCTATACTATGTCACGCAGTTAACTACTGACACATCCTGTCTCAGGTGTCGCCAACCCCGTCGACGACGCTCTCTCTCGTGTCAACCTCACCCATCACTCCTTGCCTACTGTCGACCTCGTAGCCATGGCATCGGCCAAAGATGAAGATTTACAACGCACCCTACAGTCCACTTCACTAGATATGCAACCCGGTCCACATAAACTACGCACGGAACTATCCTTTGGGACACTTACCCAGATTGTCCTGCACCTTTCGTGCACACTTTTCAGATACATAGTAATCGGCACCCATCAATGTCTCATCATGGTATTCGCGCTCTTAAAACTGGTCACCGAGCGTTTCGGTCGGCGAAACGAAAATAAAGATGTTCATAACTGAGATTAAAATTGCTTCCACTGTAAGTGCCTCAAGGGACATAGACACACCAAAAGTCCGCTTGGCTCACTCCCCGAACAGAATTCATTGCAGCGTACGCAACCACAAACAGTGGCGCAGACCTGATAAAAGATGACTCCTATCACCCAGTAGATGAACACCTTAAACAAAGAAAAAGCACGGATACTGTAGCGATGAGCCTCACCTCACCGGTCAACCATCATCATCATCAACAGCAGTACACCAGCCATTTTAACAAATGCTTCACTGCCATACAACCATGAGCACCTGTGAAATAATGAATAAGAAGAAGGAGAGAAGGGGGACTTACCTGAAAACCTTAATGCCCTAAGCAAACATTCAGGGTCAAGGCGCCTACACCTTGTGTAGACAACATACCGTCACAAACAGCTGGCTATCGTGCAAAGATAAGGCGGCATCGGCGAGACAGCTTCCTTGCGGCTTTCACTGCCACGCGTCATAATCAGCCATTACCCCGCAGATAACTCAGCACCAAATACACTTTAAACAGGCAATCCGATTAGGAGACGGCAGCAAACGCGCCACTGGTGTCTACTGTGAGCCATGTCCTGTAAAATCTCGAGCCAAGCACAAGGCGAGTCACGTGGACTCCAGCCCGGAAGGCGAGACGGACCAACGGCACCCAGTTTGGTCGTCAGTGACTTCATTACCCGCTGCCAAGTCAATTTCTGTCCAACGCGAGCCTTGCGCCACTTTACACCTGTCAGACTAAACAAGGCCCTCCTAGGTAAGCGGTGACCAGGCATACGTAGCACGTGCCCAAGCCAACACAACTTATTCAGTGCTATCTGCTGTTCTAGGGAGCTAGCAGGATTATCACCACCTAGTACTCGCCTACGTACATTGTTGCGGACACGCTGGTGCCATCCGACTCCACCTATGCTTCGCAGACAACGATGATCAAAGACTTGAAGGCGCCTCAGATCTTCAGACCGAACGGGCCAAGTCTCACTACCATAGAGCAGAACGGCCCTCACCGTGGCCTTGTATACACGGCCTTTCAGGCGGAGGGAAACTCCCTTCTGTCGCCAAAGATGCCGCAGGTTCAAGAAGGAAGCTCTGGCTTTTGCAATACGTGAGCCGACGTCAGTTTCCATGCGCCCATCATTGCTGATGCAGCTGCCAAGATAAGTGAAATGATCAACCACCTCGAGTTCCTCGTTAGTAAGCATCAAGGGGTCATCAACTGGATGGTGGTCCTGCAGCAACACTTTGCACTTTGAAGGTGCGAAGTGCATACCAAATAATGGGACTACTCTGGACAGACTATGCAGGGTTGATTGGGCTCCCCAACATCGTTGAAAAGCAAGACGATATTGTCCGCATAATCTAGATCAACTAACCTTTCACCAGGCAGCACTTCGACGCCTATATCGCGAGATACTGCAAGCGAACAATCCATGATAGAATCCACGACGAAATTGAACAAAAACGGGGAAATCGGACAACCCTGACGAACGCCACTTGTGGTCGGAAAGCTATCCGATAGGACACCGTAAACCCTGACGCGGCCTGTACTATTCGAGTATAGAGCACGAAGGACGTTCACATATTTCGTGGGAACACCTTTCCGCGCAAGTATTTCGAACAGAATGCATCGATCGACTGAATCGAACGCACTCTTGAAATCGAGAAACACAGCTATTGTTGGTCTGCGGTATGCGTGGCGCTGCTCTAGCACCTGCCGCAAAGTGAATATATGGTCTATACAGCCACGTCCTGGGCGGAAACCGGCCTGATCTTCCCTAATCCGAGATTAACGTTCCGCAGTGAGGCGACGAACGAGAATCGAGGCCAATACTTTTGTCACAATTGGCGTTAGGCTAATACCCCTGTGGTTAGAGCAGTCTGTGCGACTGCCCTTCTTGTATATTGCCACTATAATCGATTCGTTCCAATCAGCCGGGACACTTCCTTCCAAATACATTCGAATTTACAGCGGTACGTTCGAACCTACTGTACGGTTGTGAAACCTGGCCGCTTAAAGCAGCGGACCTGAAGAGGCTAGTTACGTTCGACTACCGGTGCCTTCGTAATTTAGCTCACATCTAGTGGGAACACCGCGTGAGTAACGAGCGTGTTCGACGCCTTGTTTACGGCACAGGAAAAGGAAATGAACCGCTCAGCACCGTTATTTCACGCACCAGGCTCCGATGGCTCAGCCATGTGTTACGCACGCCAGCCCACCGACTCCCGCGACGTGCGTTGTTTGCGCGCCGGGGGTGTGGATGAAAGGAGAGGAGGGCTGTCCAAGCGATGACTTGGTCCAGAGAAATGAAGGTCCTCACTTCTGAGCTGGCCTCGGTTGGAGCGTCTCGGCTCCCTGGTTGGGGTCCGAAAGACGACGAACACATTTGGTTGGACACACTTGTTGATATGGATAGGAGCCGACCTCAGTGACGTTCGTGCTGTGAGTTTCTTTGTCCCACCCCATCCCTCTTTGCCGCCACCTCCAACCACGATCTCATTAGTTAGCCTTATATAATTTTGCAGTAATTGTTTTTGATGCACAGTAGCCGGCTGGAAGCTTACCGGAACGATGCCCATCCGTCACCGGTAGCTCAGCCGACGTGCGCCAGTTGCTATTCTCTACTTTTTTCAGTGTATTGCGGCACAGCAGCTGAGGTGTTCCCCACCTCTAGCTAACATGTATGGTGATGATGATGATGACGATTACGAAACATTCGAATAAGGAGGACCTCACCTCCATCTTTAAATAGTGAAGATGGAAGAGAATCCAGGCCAGCGGCACGAAAAGGATTAAGGGCTGTGATCGCGTTTCGGACCTCGGCCTCTGACGGCGGCTCTAAACTAACCGCCTATGGCCCGTCCTGCATCACCTGAGTAGGAAGAGGTCCGCGAGCAGGGGGCCAGCTGAACTGATCTTGAAAGCGTTCCGCCCAACGAGCCATACGGCGCTCCTTATTGTGTATCAGCGCACCCGCGCTGTCTCTGACTGTCTCACTGACGCCTGGTTTCCTGGGACCAGTGGTGCGGATTAGCCGGAAAAGCTTGCGATAATTGCCTACTGCTCCTGCCTCCTCCATTTTTTGAGCCCTACTGGCCCATCAGGTTTCCTTGTCAGGACGTAGGCTCTGCTTTAGTTCACGCATAATAGCCCGTCTGATCACAGTGTGTTCAGAGGCAGCCGGGAGGTGTCTTCCAGATTCCAACAAGTTCACCGACCTCTCGGATATCCAGTGATTGGTGCGGTGACGATGGATAGTGCCACAAGCAGATGCTCTTGCGTCGTGCATGGCGGCCGATATCCTATTCCACTGAAGCTCAGCGTCATTAGGACAAGACTGCGGAAGTTCAGTATGCAGTGCTTCTTGATAGGCTTGCCTGACAGAATTTCTCAGTTGCCAATCGGAGGAGACGCTTGGTGCGCCTCCCGGTAAAGTTCATGGAGAAACGACAACGTACCAAG